CCCCCTTTCTGATGAAGGGTCTAGGCCCAAAACGTCAGCCTCTCTGCTCCTATGATGCTGCTTGGCCTGCTGTGTTCATCCAGCCCTGCACCTTGTTGTCTCGGATTCTCTAGGATCTGCAGTTCCTACTATCTCTGATTCATAATTAAAGCCCTATTTGGAATGATACTTTCAGCATTTGTCTTGATCAAAATTTTTTTATTTGTTGCTAAGTTGTGAAGGGTAAAAAATAACAGCACATTATTTCATGCGGATCCTGTTGCAAATCCTGTGACTTTCCAAACATAGTCTCTACTTCTAAGCTTTTTTCACATTTTGTTGTCACATTTTCCACGATATTGTGTATTTCTTTATGTTTAGAACCTAGAGAGATTATCTTGACATGGATGTTGTACGGAATCTAATTATTTTGCTATCTATTAATTGGGATTTCAGTCTGTAACTTCAGTCAAATCTGAAACAACTGCATGATTTTTTGTTAAATAATTAACATCATGGCTTGACTATTGAAGTAATGACCAGGAATCAGCATCTGACTTCACAGTACAGCAAATGTGTTTTGTAAAATGGAAATTTGAATCTTGGCTCTTATCACTTAATTAAAGGGAAGACGTGCAGGAAAAATGCATGGTATTGTTTAATTGATTGTGTTCTTTAATTGAAACAATTCCTAGAATAAACTTTAATCCTGTATTCAATGCACCTGTTAATAATGATTAATTTAGGAGACACAGAATCCATTCCATACCAGTAACGGAATGATGAGGAACAGTTGTTTCAATTTCATACACAATACCTCAATTATCCGAAATCTATTGGAATTTAGAATTGTCCATTGTTTGAGGATTAATGGTGTTGCTTGAAATATTATAAAGCAAGTCGTTGCACAACAGGTGATGTCACAGTTCATTGGAGCAATGAGGAGAGTGGGTTGAATGTCCTGGATCATGGAGGTGAATAGTAGATTTGACAGGTGAACAGAATTTTTGCCAGAATTTTGTATAAAAAAGAATGAAAAGCTGTGTTCCTCTGCACAATGTTAAATAAATAGCAACTAGAGAGTTAAGTCTTTTTTTTGAAAATGCAATTGCACTTTCCTTTCAGACCTTGAGTTGCTCAGATCTGGAAGGTACAGACTGAAATGTTGTTGTACACAAATTGTACACTCACAAGAATATTGGATAAATACTTGCAAGAAAACTGTTAATCAAGCTGTGCTAAAATAACAAGGGAATGGATTTAACTTGATATCACTGAAAGGTGATACTGACATGGCAGGATAAACAGCACAGTCAATGGCTCCACAATTGACTATTCATGGTAAATTAATTATTTTGCTTTTTCAGACCACCCTGCAGCACTCAGTGGGAAAGCATCAGCGATCTATGAAAATATTCCAAGAAATCAAAAGGTTGGTGCAATTATTACAATTATGTTGGTGCAATTAATATACAGTTAAGCGACTGTGCTCATTAAAGTAAAGCCAGATTTTTGCAACCATGAACCTCTTTTTTTTCCACTGTTTAAAGGAAGTGGATTTATTAATAAACCAGAAAAGATGGGATCTTTGCTGTGATTTTTAAAATTTGATTGTTAAGAAAATCCAAAAATGATCCTCATGCAAAATGTAAAATAGCCGTAACCCTACCTGATCATAGGGCAGCTGTTTCATTGGAGATAGTCAATTGGTGCTATTTTAACCTGAGGGTCACCATGCCCCATGTGGAGTTTTAAGACAGTTAGTTAGGAGGCTATTGCAGGGTTTAATAAAATGATAACCAAGCAGGTTCTCTTACTGCAGTTGTTTAAATAGATTTGGGACATATATCCTCACCTGCTCTTCAGAATAAAAGGCAACAACACCAACCATATTTTGCGAAGAGAACAGCTCAGAGTGAAGTATCAGCAGAGTATTAGTCAAAGAAATTCTTCCTCACAATGTGCAGATGCATATTACATACTAATAGTGTTAAAGTTTAAATGACCTACTTCCATTTTTGGTAACCATGATGACATACATCTTTCAAATTGCATTTTTACAGGAGAAAGCTATGAAACCATTTGATGAAAATATTTACATGGTAATGACATTGTTGAATCTTATTTTAAAACATTCACATGCAATTTATGATGTGTGTTTCATCTCAGTTTTATTTTACCACGTTATTTCCCTTAATAAGAACATCTGTCTCTCTTTTTTATATTTAACAGGGATTGCAAGTGCAGGATCAGTCAGTTTACAGTGAACTGAAGACGAATGCAAAGTGAAGACATTACAATTCATCTACCATATAAAGTTTAAAAAAAAATCAAATGAAATACGAACAGGTGTATTTATCATCAGGATTTGTTATAACATGGCAGCACAATGGCCACCTATGATGTTTAGTGTTTTCGTAAAATGTTCTGTCAACCTTATTGTTTAAGACTGGGCATTCAGGATCTTGACTGAGTTACCTACATACTTGATCTGTACCCTGACATGCATCTCATGGGTTTGTGGGAAAGGGGATAAATTTACATTGAATATATCTACCATGGTCCATGAAGGAATCATTCTTGCAGCCAAGCAAAATAATTTTCTGAGCACTCTTTACATTTTGTTTTCCTGCATAGCCATTGGTCTTATACAATATCCAACAACCAAAAATCCATTCTCAACATGCAGGAAATTTTCATGGTTCATTCATGTGTTCTGGGAGGCATTCATTGTCTGTCTGTAAATACCCTCAAGAAGTTGGTCACTTCTTGAACAGTTACAGCCCAATTGGTGTAGGTAAAATGAATGCTTAGGGGGAAGGTTCCAGCATTTTGTTCCAGTGACAGCGATGGAGCAGAGATATAATTTCAAGTCAGGATAGTGAGTGATTTGGAACTGGCAGCTGAAGTGGTATTCAGTTGTATCTGCTGCCCATCTGCTTCTAGATGACCATAGCCATGGAATTGCAATCTGTTGCGTACGGAGCCTTGGTAAATTTCTACAGTGCATCGTGTGGATGCTTCACATTGCTGCTATTGAACATCGGTGGTGGAAGGAGTGAATGTTGTGACTGTGTTGCCCAACAACCAGGCTGTTTTGTCCTGGATGGTGTAAGCATCTATTGTGTTTTTAGAGCTACACTGATGCAGACAAGTGTGGAGTATTTTATCCCGGTCCTAACTTGTATCTTGTGAATGGCGGACATGCTTTGCTGACTGACAAGGTGAAATAACCACACAGGACTCCTATCGTCTTTCCTGTTCTTGAAGCCCTGCATTTATTTGAAAGACTAAGGCAGTTATGGATCATTGGTAACTGCCGGGGTGCTGATAGTCACTGATTCAGTGATGGTAATTCCATTGAACTTCAATGAATAGTGATTAGATACTCTCTTGCTGGCGATGGTCATTACCTGGTATTTTCATGGTGAGATGTAACTTACAACTTGTTAGCTGATTCTGAATATTATCCAGGTCTTTTTGTATTTTTACTTGAGCTGCTGTAGCATCATCTGTGGCGTCACGAATGGTTCTGCAAAATCTAGCGTCATCCATGAACCTCCCTGCTTGTCACCTTATGATGGAGGGAAAGTAATTGTTAAAGCTGTTGAAAATGGTTGGGCTTAGGACAGTGCATAGAGGAACGTCTGAAGAAATATCTTGGAACTCCAACCAAAGAATAACTATTCCTGATTACTATTAACGCTAATTTTGCTAGGATACCTTGATCCCAATTTTGGTGAGATGCAGTTTCAGATCAGAAATGTGCTGTGTTTTGATTTCACAAATTCAATACATTGCAGTATAAATGTTCTTAGCAGCAGGATCACGGAATGTAACACTTGGACCTAAAAGAATCGAGGGAAATTGGGGAAATGTAGAAATAGTCTATTTAGCTGAATGATCAGACATGATCATAATCAATGATAAAAGCAGGCTTGAAAGGCCAAATGGCCTACTGTTGCTCCCATTTTCTATATTTCTACATTGTTGTTGGAATGTTTGATCCTATGACCATTATATTAGTTGTTGACCTGTAAGTCATTGTGGGTTTGTCATTCAGTGCAGCAAAAGGATAATGAATTCATGAAATGGTACAAATCACTGATCACACGTTGTTGTCAAATCCATTCACTAACACTCACCAAGGGAAAATAATCCTCTATGAGATTGTCTCCCAAATTTTGATGAGTGATTCTTTGTATTCATTACTTCAATCTGCATCTTATTCAGTTTACCAATACTTTCTGTTCCTCTCTGAGATCAATAACCACACCTGTCCATCTGAACACCTACACTGAGTTCTCCACTTCACTCTCAAGCGAGGCTTTTGAATTCATATACCTAATACATTGCTTATTCCATATGGTTCCCCTTGGGAATTGACAAATTTCCGTTCATCAGCAAATCAGACATGCATATTTCTACACTCAGCCAGTTGATCTATATAAATCATGGTGCCTCAAATAAAACAACACATCATGCGTCAAAGATTATAATTCCCCTTGGTTCATTCCAGGGATGATGATAAGTCTACATTTTTGTTACCTCTCTCATAGATTCCATTTGTTCTCCAACACTATATTTAAACACATTTGTTTCATTCTCACAGCAGTAGCACTGTCATAATTATTTACAAATGTTAATTATTACTTTAATCACTGAGCATTTCTTCTCCCAACTTTCCTGAAACATATAACATGTTAGAATCCAACCTCCCCCTTTCTCCACTTTGTGTAATTGTTCTTGTATACTTTCACCCTTTTTTCTTTATATCCACGTACAACTGAATGTTTTTTCTTCCCTTCACCAAATCACGTATGGTAACTTCTCACCGATTAACCACCACCAGTAAATCACCTGTGTTTTATGTTTAATTAATTTAAATGCAAAATGTGTGAAGGACAATATGGACAATCCAATGTGATACAGTTGGAAGGGAATGATAAAGAACAATACCCTCATATCTTTATTTTTAACTCTGACTTTGCAACCATATCACCTGCCACGATTACTTACCTTAATAACACATGCAATTACATACCGAGGCAACCAGCATCTATCTGTGGTTTCTTACTATGACTCACCCCCATGGTGGCCATTGTCATTTCGTCTAATTACATGTAGTGATGTAACAAACTCACATCTTTCATCATTTAGAAGGATAGGTATCTCAGATATTCCGAATCATCGACATCACACACTGCATTGATCTGTATACATATTGCAAAACCTCCACGGAAACACCTGACATTCCCTGCCAAGTACAGTTGTAGTACGCTATCACCACGACAATTTCGACACTCAGCTGAAGCATTAACAATGCCCTCTTCAGGAAGAAAACGGACGAGCAATAAACTCTGGCCTTCTCAGTGATTTTGCAAATGAATTAAATATCTTCTTATTCTGGATTCTACAACAAGGAGAAATGATTTTTTTGTTCTCTGTATAATTGACTGAGATTCTTTGAAGATACTAAACATCTCCATCACATCATCAGATAGATTTATGCAATAATGTAATGGAAGACAATCTTCTCCTCATGAGTAAATTCTTTAATCAGTGGTATCAAGTGAATAAGTGTGCTGTGCACATACTTCCCCTATTTAGAATTCATCTTTCTGGATTGAGCACCAAAACTGTTTTGGGCATTTTGTTGTTTGTATGTATGCTTAATGTATTAGACTGCCTAATATATTCATTGTCCTGCATTTGCCCAATTTAGTCCGTATATATCTGAACTACAACTATATGCAAAATGACACTGTTTCGTACTTTATGGCTGTAATGGCTCAAAACTTTGTATATGCACGTGCCAGCATACTGTAATTTTCCTGTGTCAATTTACTGATCTTCGGGGTGGCTCACTGTTAAAATCCCGATGCGAAGAAACAATCGTAATATAATTGAGATTATGTGAGACTCCTGTGTTATATTTGCTGTAAGTTAAAACAACGTGCTAGTAAAAGATATGCTTTGCTGAACAAAAATACTTAGAAAAGGATTTATGTGGACACGGTTGTTAATAACTGCATCTTTATTAGTAAAATGATGCATTTGTGGACTGTTGAATTTCTCTATTAAAGAAGAAACATGGAACCTAGCACGTAACATCTGTGCTTCATATTTCAGCCTCTGATTTAGTTTATGTATTTTTTTTAAATTTCGTTGCTCTAATTTGAAAGACACTCAATGCTTTGATTTCCTCGAATTTCCCTCTGAATGTCATTGTTTCAGAATGCCATAAATCCACTTGAACTGTGAACAGAATGAAATGTACTTTGAAAGTGGTGAGAAAAAAGCTTTGGCAATTTGTAGAGATCTGTGAGCAGCATTCCGATAAGCAGTGTCATCCCTGATATTCAAAACAGTGGCTCCTGGGAGGTTTGCTAGGTATCAAGCAGGGTGCTTTAAAAATTGTTCATATCAATTTGGAATACCTTAGACTGGCTTAATATTCGATGTTTCAGAAGGAGTGCTTGGCAAAGTAAAGAAGACTGGCTGTGACAGGAAACTGATGAAATCACAAAGAGGACATAGGACTTAATGGGAGTATTCATTACTTTCAGGGAAAGGTCACATTATGCAGTGTAAGTATAATATGGAAGTTATTGCATCTGAACACAGGCGGTCAGAGAGGTAAACTGCCTTCAGCCACTCTCTGCATTTCTCTGAAAATTCTCTCATCCATGTCTTCAAAATCCACTGGAGGACTTCAGCATCAAAATAAAGGTTTAGTAAAGGAGCATTCAAAATCTCAACCACTGTCTCCAGAAAAGTTACATCACCAGGCACAATTGATCAATGAAGTCATCCAGTGGCAACAGCTTGAGTGGAGAGTCTCTTCAACAGCAAAGAGAAAAAATACCCCCTGGATCATTTTTTTTAAAAAACTTGACTGTTTCTTTGCCTAAGTATTTTTAAGTTTGCACTCCCAAAACTTCATAATATTTTCCAAGACTTGGAGATTTTATGTAGGTGTGTGTGTGTTATGTGTGAAGAGGGTAGTTGTATGAATATATTGACATTGTTTAAATATTTGAATAATAATCTTTACCTCTTTGCATTTTTTTAAAAAAAAAGAATTCCTTTGTGATAACTAGTTCCGTATTTAGAGAATCTGGCTGTTTTACCGATGTATATGTAGTCGAAACCCTAGATCCCTCCTTATCTGTATAACCTGCACCAGTTCACCTATGTATAGTGTTCACACAGCTACAGTCTCCTTCTAGCTTTCCTCATCCAGCCCAAGCAAGCCTCCAGATCTCATCCAGCCTTTGACACATTTCTGTACCCAGCGCTCTCCCAATTCCTGTTAAGTGCCGGTGAGATAGCTTCCCCAGGCATACAGAGGAGTTGGAATTTGGCCTGAGGGGAACAACATTGCCACGATACCACAAGTGTGCAGAGGTACAGGGATGTACTTGAGACACACAGAGAGAGAAAGCTCAGGAATAAAACCACAGAAACCTTTTTTTATTGCAAGTTTATGAATTTAATAGCGAGAATTCATTTATCTGTGCATTTGCTCGATGTTTGTGTCTTACATGGTCATGGAAGCACAGAGATATACATAGGGATTAAGTATTTATAATCACATGATGGCACGTTCACAATCCAGGACAGATTTTGACAAAAGGGATTCTCTCAACAGTCTGGCCTCAGACACTTAAACTCACAAATGTTTGCAACTGGCGCGCAGGTCCGTGAGGTACGAATCAGATTTCGCATGTTATTGTGTGCACATGTTTCAATATGTGTCCATGTTTAAGTGTGCCTGTGAGGTTGAATGTAGGGTGTGTGCGTGTTTCTGTTTGTGTGTGTGTGTGTGTGTGTGTGTGTGTGTGTGTGAGCGAGCGTTATGTTTCTGTGCCAGTTTACAGAAATGCCTGTGGGAGAGTCAGTATGCGAGTGTCCCTATCAAATCAAAAATAGTCCCAACATTTTAGAAGCTGCAGTCATGATTGTCCTCTATCTTCACGCTCCCCCTGCTCTCGTATTGCACTGTATGCCAGCTGATGATGTTACCTCCGGCACTGTGACACCCTTGACTTAGTGCCTTGATGTCGTTTGCCGAAAGGACGTAGTCCCACAAGTGGACATCTGTCAACTCTCCCACGAAACTCTGCTTGCTGTCAAACTTGCCCCCGACCTGGTCCTGTTCCTGCCCCAGCATAAACGTGCCCCCACTACGGACCACCCCACCTTTGTTGCCGACTTTCCGAAGGCTCCGGACTCCATTGAGCCAGAAGGTGATGATTCCAGTTGGGGAGTCCCAGCTCACGCAGATGTGTCTCAGCAGAGCGTCGGTCTCCGGGAGGGCGAAATGGAATATATCGCTGCCAAAGTAGAGGGACAGCTTCGTGTTCTCGTTGTGCCAGAGGAGCAGCTCATTGTCCGTATTCGCTGTGGCATAGGATAACAAGCTGTAACCTCGCTTTGCCTCTAAGGCAGCCCTCAGGCAGAGAGTGAATGCCGAGAGCTGGGAGAATTCAGTAGGCAGCAGCTTAACGTAAGTGCTGTCGGTTTGAGTCGAGAAAACCAGCGACTTGCCTGATAAGCCTGTGAACAAAAATAAGGACAGTGTTGAGCCTTTGGAAAGGAGAGTCGCAAGATGCAGAGGCAAATGGACAGGTGGACATGTGAAAATGTCGGATCTTCCAGCTGCCTCCTACTCCCCACCGTTTCACAGTGGCTCATACACTCACACACTTTCAAACTCACACAACACACACTGTCACGCAGTTGCACACATACTTTTAGTCTCTCTCTCTCTCTACCACACTGTCACTCAAAAACATACTCATGCCCCCTCTATCTGTCTCTCACACAAATATCCTCTCTCAAACTGTAACACACATTTTCTCTCCCTCATAAACACAGGTACATGTATTAATATATTTTCACGCAAATGATGTGCACCCAGTGTGGAGACGCACACACACTCATTCGCACACACACTCATTCACACGCACACACTCATTCGCGCACACACGCACACACACTTTTCATGCGTACACACACACACATTCATGCATACACATGCACATTCATTCTCACAGATGCACACAAACGGATACATATACGCAAAAAGATACGACTTATTAGCATAGATACATACAAAGGCACTGACACATCCAAAAAACACACTCTCGTTCACAAAGACGCGCACGAATAACACGCTCGCGTACAGATGCTCAAAACGTTAAAAACTCATTGACATCGATAGACAGAAAGGCGTGTACGTACACACACACACACACAAGAAACAGAAACTCATTTACATTAATACACAGACACACACAAAGAGCAAAAATTCATTCACATAGTCATAGAAGGGCACCTACACACACAGGTGCAAAATCTCATTTACATAGACCTACAAAGTCATAGACACTTATTCACATAGACACACAGAAATGCACACACACACACACATAAAAACACAGAGATTTGCTCACATCGACACACAGAAAGGCACAAACACACGCGCAAAGAAGCAGACACATGTTCCACAAGACAGAGCTAGGCAGCCTGGGATAGTTTGCTTCCGAGCAGAGGAGACTGAAGGCAGATCTGATAGAGGTGAATGAAGTTCTGAGTGGCATAGACAGGGCATATAGTGAGGAACCTTTTTCCTTATCAGATGGATCAATAAACAGGTGGCACAGCGTTAAGGTAAGGAACAGAAGTTTTAAGGAAGAATTTGAGGTAAGCAAACAAAAACAAAATTGCTGGAAAAGCTCAGCAGGTCTGGCAGCATCTGTGGAGGAGAAAACAGAGTTAACGTTTCAGGTCCGGTGACCCTTCCTCAGAACTGATGGTGGCCGGGAAAACGTCAGTTCATATGCAGAAAATAGGGAGGTGGGTGGGGTAGGGAGTAAACGATAGGATAGAGCCCAAAGAGAGAGAAAGACAGTTGGACAGACAAAGGAGTTGCTAACGATTAGGCTGGAAGGGTGAATAGTTGTTAATGGGGACTGTTAGTGACTAACAACAGGGGGTGTGTAGTGGCAGGCTATGTGGTAACAAAGTAAGTGGTAACAAGGTAATTTGAGGTAAGTGTTGTGTGAATTGAGGGTTGAGTGCATCTGGAATTTATGGTCTAAAAGGGTGAAAGAAGCAGGAAGCCTCAAGTCATTTGAGAAGTATTTAGATGAGCAACTGAAACACATAAGCATAAAAAGGCTGTGGGCCAAGTGCCGGTAAATAGGATTAGAATAAATAGATCCTTCAAGAGGGGCATGGACACGATGGACCAAAGGTCCTCTTTCCATGTTGTGAAAACAAGACTGACCAACTCTATGCCTTCATGACTCTTTCATGTACAGATACACAAAAGCACACAAATGGACATAGTCACACAGTGAAATACACACACACACAAACACGCACAACTGAGCTGGGTTTCTTTTTGGAATCTGTTATCTCTCTGTTCTGCATGGCTGCTCAGTAGAAAATACATTTTGCAATGAGTATTGCAGCACTGCAGCCTATTCTACATGCCTCCACGGACCAGTCCGGGTAGAAAAATGCAGCTGACAAGCCCAAGGAGAATGGAATTCTTCATCTTGCAATCAGTCTGTAAACGTTAATGATCAAAGTCAACTACCTTAGATTGATGCTGTTATATACACTTGGAACTGCCGAACAATACTGACATATAGAAGTCAACACCCAGAAGACAAGCTGATATTTACCAACAACTCATTCCCAAGTTATGGCAGTATATAGATCTGTCCCAATGGAAAACACTCCTGCATCTGTGTAGATATGAAGTACTATTCTAGGGACTTCGACGCAGAAATCAATGTTGTCTTTCTACTGAGGTACTTAAGGGCTGCTGCACTGTTAGAGGGTCTGTACTGAGGGAGTGTTGCACTGTCGGAAGGTTAGTGGTCAGGGGGGTGCTGCCCTTTGCAAACGCAGGATTGAGGAAGTGCTGCACCGTCAGAATGTCTGCACTGAGGGAGAGCCACGCTATAACAGGGTCAGTACTGAGGAAGTGCTGCACTGTCAGAGGGTCACTACTGAGGGAGAGCTGCCCTATCAGAATGTCTGCACTGAAGGAGAGCCGCACTGTCGGAGGCTCAGTACTGAGTGCCGCACTGTTGTCGGGTCAGTGCCGAGGGAGCCCGGCACTGTCGGAGGGTCAGTGGTGAGGGAATGCTGGAATATCAGTACTAAGGCTGTGCAGCACTGTGTGAAAGTCAGTAGACTAGAAGAGTTGCCCAGACAGATGGACAGAACTCTGTATATCGCTGTCTGTCTTTGTCCGGGTCTCTGTCGCTCTCTGTCTCTTTCTTCCTTTCTTTCTGTGTCTCGCTGTCTTTCTCTCTTTGTTTCCATTTGTCTGTCTTTGTCTATAGACGTGCATCCCTCTGTGTCTCTCTCTGTCTCTTTCCCTCTCGCAATGTGTCTGTTTCTCCTTGTTTTTCTTCCCCTCTTCCCGTCTCTCAATTTCAATCTCTCTGAGTCTTTGGCTGTCTCTGCTTTTGCTTTTCTCTCTCTCTCTGTGTGTATCTATATCTCTCTGATTTTGCTGCCCTCCCCTGTCCCACCAACCGTCTTTTTATTTGCATAACTTTCTCTCCCTGTTCTTCCTCTTTCATCCTGTCTCTCTCTCTCTTCAGTTTCTGTGAATCTGTGAAGAATACTCACTGTTTCTTTTTCTTGGATTGAAGGATTTGTTTTCTCTCACCCGGTGATCAGAAGTCCGTGCAGGTTTGAGCTGGACGATTGAGCAATTTAAAAAGCTTGCACAAGCAGGAATGAGATTATTGAGCGGATGAACGGAAATTTCCAATGAATTCCTCATTTAAACAATTCGGGAGCTGACTGAGCATTATATGGCAAAACTTCTGATCAATTTATTTTGGCTCCGAAATATTTAAGTCCAATGTGTAACTCCAATGTACACATTCAGATACATAAATATTAACCACCTGGTCATCAAACACACAAACAGAAACTCAGATACAAACAAACAGACGACTCAGAAATGCACACGTACACACACACGTACACACACACACACACAAAGAGATATTTTCCCAGCACACCCACATAAACACACCCTGACACTTTCTGTCTATCTTGCATTGCAGGAGAACATAATAGAGAAAGATAGACTTAATGCAAATGGCTGCAGCACCTTCAGTTTAAAGTTCATTCTACAACCCTCCCTTGCCCCCAATGTCTGGCTCGCTATAACTATCCCTCCTGAAATCCTCTCCACATTTGTAAACATCTCAGCTGCAGAAACAGTTTGTTTTTGCACTTTACAGGAGTGAGGCCCAAAAATCCCATTTATCTCTGTATCCTCCTTTAGCCCCTACACCCTCCCTACCCCTGTAAACTCCGTTAGCCCCTACAAAACTCTGTATTCCTGTAAACTCCTCAGACCCTACAGCCCTCCCAATTTCTGAAATGTTGGCCAGCCTCTACAATTCTTACTGACTTTCTAAAGTCCTCTAAACCCCAATATCTCTGCAACCTCTTCCATGCTCAAATATCACTTGATGCGGAGAGAGTGTACCAAAGCGTCCTGCTGAACAATGACAATCCTGATCAGATCTTAGTTAACTCTGTATCTTACAAAAGGGTATAATTGAAGAAGGGTCTAGGCCCGAAACATCAGCCTTCCTGCTCCTCTGAAGCTGCTTGGCCTGCTGTGTTCAGCCAACTCTACACCTTGGTATCTCATAATTCCATCAGTGCTGGTTTAATGGTGTGTTCTGCTTTGGTTAGTTCACTTAATGTCACAGTAACTCAGTATAAAGATCAAGTGTTATGTCTTCAGTCTTGGAACCATGAGTCTGTCTCTTGTTGAACATTCAATGGTGTGACCTGTTCGATAGTGAGGCCTGTTGTAGCTAATTGAATTATCAGTTTGGTGGTGTTTATACAGTTTCCAATCAACCTGTTCAGAGATGTTATTAGACACTATTATTTGGAGCAGGTGGGACTTGAATCCAGGTATCCTGGCTCAGAGGTAGAGACACTACAACTGCAACAGAAGAACTCCTCAGAGGAGCTTATTATATGCAGCCACTTAAAGTGCTCCAAATTTGTGTAAGAAACACTCTCGGTGTCTAGAATACTCCATTGATTGAGGGCAAATGTTACTGACTTAAAAAGTGTGCCACGAATGTTTCATAGAATAGTACCAGGTAATAGGTTTTTAGTTCCATTCAACTGGAAATGGCAGGATTATTCTTCTTCGAGCATTTCAACAGCAAAATCCTGTCACAGGCAAATTTATGATAAACCACTGTCAGGTCAAAGAGTTATACAGTCATAGACTCATACAGCATGGAAACAGACTCTTCAGTTCAACTCATCCATAACAACCAGGTTTCCTGAACTCAACCCACTTGTCTGCATTTGGACCACATCCCTCTAAACCTTTTCTCTCTCAATGTCTTTTAAACATTGTAACTGTACCCGCATCCATCACTCTCTTTGGCAACTCATTCCACATGTGGAACGCAGACTGTCTAAAAAAATCGCCCCTCAGGCCCCTTTTAAATCTTTTCCCTCCCACTTTAAACATATACCCTCTGGTTTTTGATTTCCCTACTCAGGGGAAACGATCTTTACTATTTACCTTATCTACGCCCCTCATGATTGTATAAACCCCCATAAAGTCACGCCTCAATATGCTACACTCCAGGAACAAAAGGTCCAGTTATAAGAGGCTATCCAGCCTCTCCTTAGGACTCAAACCCTCCAGCCCTGGCAATATTTTATTTTATTTTTTTCTGAAGCCTCTCCAATTTAATAATATTTTCCTATAACTGTCTGTAAATATTTGGTGAGGGTGCAAATTAATTATCACAGTAGATAGCTACAACATACAGATTTTCCTTTTAGGCAGTGGTCTGCTATGATCTAGAAATTAAAGCCTAAAATGGTTTAAACAAATCATTTGGGAACTTCAGTCAGAAATTGAATGAAGACTTTGAGGGAAATAAATCCAAGGGTAAGTAGAAATAACAGGGGTGTTTGTTTAACTGGATAGTTTGAATAGCTGAAACAGACATGGTGGTTAGGAAATGTTCTTTAGGTGTTATTTCCATTGTAATTCTCCAATTCAATGCTTATTAAATGTTCTTCTGTGTACGTTTTTCTTGCAAATGTACTTGAGCAGTAGGAAGGCAAAATCGCCGTGGTGCCAGAGGCCCACTCTCTCATTGCAGAGAGACAACTGGCTGTGGTTTAACCAAAGGGTCACCATTCCTGAGGCAAGTGGGAGGGCTGAGCAGGAGAGTCCTTCACATGCAATGAATTGAGCCCGCGCTGTTAGTTTCACACTGCAGCACAAAATGGCCATCCAACCAACTGAACTAACCCTTGAGCAATAGATGGTTGCCAAACTACTTGACGCAAGTTTCACATTTTTTATTTACATATACAGTCAGGGCATTATTTTGTGAATTCCTTTACATAAGAACATAAATGCAGGAGCAAATGGAGGCAATTCAAGCCCTTGAGCCTGCTCAGCCACTGAATACAATTAGGGATGATCTCATCTCGGCCTCAGCTCCATTTACCTGTCTGTTCTCCATAACCCTTCAACCCATTACTAATTAAAGTTTGCCAATCTCCACGTTAAGTTTATTCAATGTCTCACTGCACTCTGGAGTAGAAGATCCTGCAGATTTACAGCACATTGAGAGAAATGATATCTGTTTGGAAATCTGTTTGGAACCTGCTACCCCTTATCCTAAAAGTGTGACCTCTCAATCTAGATTGTCCTCTATGTCTGCTTTGTCAATCTCTTTCGTATTTTGTATACTTTAGGAGGTTAAGTTATTTTATTTTTAAATTTATTTTACATTTCAGTTCACTTCTCTGTGATTGCACTCTCTTTCTGTTCACTCAACCAAATGCATTTTATAAGTTTTAAAATGGATTACACCCCAGGATTGTTAAGTTCACAATGAACTAATGAGTAATGTGGGAAGAGCATTTTAAAAGTTGCCTATCTTTTTTCTAACATAAGGATTTTTATTATTTCTCAGGACAGAGGTATCACATGTTATCTCCAGTTTCCTCATTGCTTTCAGTGCTGAACATGCAATGTAGGTTTGGAAGCTGTTAGATATTAACTTTGGTAGGGTGACATGCAGCTTTGTTGGGGAAATATTGTTCAATTAGGTTTTTGCTAAAAACATAATTTCATTCCAAATTTTTTATTGTGACAGAACTGGTGACTATAGTGTCGGCACTTGAGCTTGTGAACTTTGAACTTTGGCTGAAAAGTGTGCTCAGATGTCCCGCACCCAAAAATAATTCATGTAGTTTGAGGTTATTATTAATATATTGGGTTTTGATCTTCGGTTATTATTTCTTTAATGTTGATTTCACACTTCATGAGATGTACAAAGAAAGTAACAAAAGCAAATGTTGATTCAAGATAATACATTTAGTATTTCTGATAAATCATTTTCTTTAAATTTATCGACTAAATGCAGCCATGTTCTGAGTACTCAAGGCTTTGACCAATTTATCTCACAGGTCGTCATTAGACTCTCATCCCAGATTTCTACTGAATTCAAATTACACCATCTGCCACGGTGGGATTTGAACCCAGAGCCCTAGAAGATTATTGGGGTCTTGTGGATTAATAACCACTTGATAATGACAGTAGACCATTGCTTTCCACTCAAGATTGTATCATTTTAGCCCAGAATGAAGTGGGAGAGTAGGAACAGATGCGAACAGGACCTGATGGCCCTTGATATGAACACATCCGGGTTCACTCAAGTTGTTTAGGCAGGGATATCTTATTGGGTTTGGCCTACATGTGACTCCAGACCCACAGCAATGATGTTGACTCTGAAATGGCCCAAAAAGCCAGCTCAGTTCAAGGGCAACCAGGGATGGGCAACAAATGCCAGCCTTGCCCGCAACCTAGGCAAAGAAAAAAAGAAAATAAATAAATTGAGGTAGAACCATTTGTTGAAAATGATAGGCTCACCAGTCTCCTGTCTCCTTATGGCCTGATGAAGACTTCAGTAAATTGGGTGTCCTGACTGCAAATACTCAGGATTATGCTGGTTTAGGATATTAGTAGACAGTGAGAGTTCAGAAAAGAATAACCAGGATGTTCCTAGGACTGGAGGGTTTGAGTTATAAGGAAGTCATAGTAGATGGTGGGCAAGGTCAGAAATCACATGACATCAGCTTATAGTCTGACAGGTTTATTTGAAAACACAAGCTTTTGGAGTGTAGCCCTTTCATCAGGTGAAGTGAGAAAGAAGCACACAGAACACGGTCAAGGACATTTGGCCTCAGATCTTCAGCTAAACTTCCTCCAGTGTGGACTTCAGGATACACAACAATGCAGAGTTGCTGAGCAGAGGCTGATAGCCAAGTTCGGTACCCATGAGGACGGTCTCAATAGGGATTTGGGGTTCACGTACCACTAAAAATGGCCCCACCACACTGTACGCTCTCACACACATGTGCACACACACACACACACACATACACACACACACACACATGCATACATACACACACACTCTCTTATACAAACACATTCACACAGACACACACACACTCTCTCTCTCCCACAGACACATACACATACATACACATGCACACAAACACACATATACACACATACAAACGCAGACACACGTACACACACTCTCTCTCTCCCACAGACACACACATACACACACACACACACACACAAACAGACACACACTATCTCTCCCTCTCCCCCCTTTCTCTGTCACTCACACACACACACACACACTCTCTCCCACAGACACATACATACATACACAAACACATTCTCTCTCTCTCCCACAGACACTCTCTCTCTCTCCTCCCCACCCCACACAACTCACGAAGTCTCTCTCTCTTCCTCCCCCCTTTCTCTCTCTGTCTCTCTCTCTCTCTCTCTCACACACACACACACACACACACACACACATATGTGCATGCATGCACACGCACATAAAAATCTATGGGGTGAATTTGTATTTGCAGATACATTCTATTTTGTTCAAAAAGAATATAATTTATAGACAGTCAGTCAATGTGGCATTTTATAAATTCCTACTTTAGAAATAAAACCAGTCTGGCTCCAAATCAAAACACAAACAGATTCTAAATAAGGCCTCACACCTAACATGCATTGTCTGACCTAACATGTCACCTCTTCTTTACACTGATAAAACCTTTAGTTTTGTCAGGGCAGTGACTTAAAAGAAATTCGGGGATTTCATATTTAATCAATTAAAACCTTCTAACTGATTAAAGATTTAGCAGCATTTAGGTTTGTTTAATACATCCTCATCAGTTGTGTGACCGTTTGATCTTTTACTTATAAATTCTGTGTTCTGTGTGCTTCTTTCTCACTTCACCTGATGAAGGGCCTACGTTCCGAAAGCTTGTGTTTTCAAATAAACCCGTTGGCTTATAACCTGGTGTTGTGTGATTTATTGACCTTGTCCACCCCAGTCCAACACTGGCACCTCCACATCCTGGCTGATGGTGGTCATTGAAGCTGCCATTGCTCCATCCCAAATTGAGTGAAATAATTCCTAAAAGAAACCACATTTACCACGGAGATTACCTTCAAACCTACCACTGTTTCCTGGGGAGTCTACACTTCGTTGCAAAACAACTAAATATCTCTGTAACTTCAAGGAAGGTTTTTGAAGATGCGGATGTATGCTTATTTTATTGACTGTAGGTTTGGCTCTGCATGTATCCACCTGGCCTGTGTTTATCCACGCATGGGCTTATCTGTGCAGTTCTGTCAGGGTAACTCATTTTCGGTTTCTACTGTTGGATGAGACACAGTCACCTGTGCAGGCAACTTCTGGCGAACTTTCTTCTACTATCATCAACTCACTAAGTTCAGCAGGTAGATCAAAAACTTCGAAAATTGGAACGGGAGTAGGCCATTTGTTCGTTCCAGCCAGCTCTGGAATTCAATATGATTATGGTTGACCATCCAACTCTGCACCTGTTCCCACTTTCTCCCCATACCCCTGAGCATTTGAGCCCCAAGAACTATATATAACTCCTTCCTGAAAAAGTTCAATGTTTTTCTCTCAAGTGCTTTCTGTGGCAGGTAATTCCACACGTTTACCATTATTTAGGTGAAGACATTTCTCCTCATCTCAGTCCTAAATGGCTTACCTTGTATCTTTAAACTGTGAACCCTGGTTCTGGATTCATAGAGTCATGGAGATGTATAGTGCAGAAACAGACCCTTTGGTCCAACTCGTCCATGCCGACCAGATATCCTAAATTAATCTAGCCCCACTTACCAGCATTCAGCCCATATTCCTCCAAACCCTTCCTATTCATATACCCATCCAAATGCCTTTTGAATGTTGTAGTTGTACCAGCCTCCACCACTTTCTCTGGCAGCTCATTGCATACAGGCACCATCCTCTGTGTGAAAAAGTTGCCTCTCCAGTCCCTTTTAAATCTTTCCACTCTCACCTTGAACATACGCCCTCTGGTTTTGGACTCCCCCACCCTGGGAGAAAGACTTTGTCCAATCACCCTGTCCATACTCCTCATGATTTTATAAACCTCTATCAGGTCACCCCTCAGCCTGCGATGCTCCAGGGAGAATAGCCCCAGCCCACTCAGCCTCTCCCTACAGCTCAAACCCTCCAACCCTGGCAACATCCTTGTAAATCTTTTCTGAACCCTTTCAAGTTTCACAACATCCTTCCTATAGCACGAAGACCAGAATTGCATGCAGTTGTCCAACAGTGGCCCAATTAATATCCTGTACAGCTGCAACATGACCTCCCAACCCCTATACTCAATGCATTGACCAATAAAGGCAAGCGTACCAAACACCTTCTTCATTATCCTGTCTACCTGCGACTCCAGTTTCAAGGAACTATGAACCTGCACTCCAAGGTCACTTTGTTCAGCAACACACCCCAGGACCTTACCATTAAGAGTATAAGTCCTGCCCTGATTTGCCTTTCCAAAATGTAGTACTTTACATTTATCTAAATTAAACTCCTTCTGCCATTCCTCAGCCCATTGGCCCATCTGATCAAGATCCCGTTGTACTCTGAGGTAACCTTCTTCGCTGTCCATTACATCTCCAATTTTGGTGTCATCTGCAAACTTACTAACCTTACCTCCTATGTTCACATCTAAATCATTTATATAAACAACTAAAAGCAGTGGACCCAGCACCGATTCTTTTGGCACACCACTGGTCACAAACCTCCAGTCTGAAAAGCAATCCTCCACTACCATCCTCTGTCTTCTACCTTTGAGCCCATTCCAAATAGTTAGTTCTCACTTTATTCCATGTGTTCTGACCTTGCCAACCAATCTACCATGAGGAACTTGTTGAATGCCTTACTGAAGTCCATATAGATCATGTCCACCGCTCTTCCTTCATCAATCCTCTTTGTCACTTCTTTAAAAAAAACCCAATCATGTTCGTGAGACACGATTTCCCATGCACAAAGCCATGTTGACTATCACTAATCAGTCTTGCCTTTCCAAATACATGAAAATCCTTTCCCCCATTGGGAACATCCTCCCTGCTGTTACCCTGTCTAGTCCTGTTAGAATGATGTAGATTTCTATGTTCCTCCCTCGCTCTCATTCTTCTAATTCCCAGTGAATATAGTCCTAATTATCCTAAAGCCTGGTATCCGGTATCCATTCCTCTCCCTTTCAATCACTTTTATTTCATTATTCCACCTCTACCTCCATGTGACTCAAATGTGCCAGTTTAACAACCTTTGCACCATCTTTGCCGCTCACTTGTCCGTAGAGATTCAACTATTACAACGTACTGGTGTCTGACATCCCACGGTGTGCCTTCCATAAAATTCACTTTATCTTCAGTTCTGCCGCCCCTATCTCTCATGTCTTAACTCATAGAGTTCGTTGCCCCATGACTCCCTGCACTTGCAGATATACTGAGTGCCCCATTCCCCCAATCACTACAACTTCTCAGTTCCACCTAACCCCTTCATTCCCAAGGACCCTGCCGATCTCTATAACCTCTTTCAATCTGAGTAACGCTCCCGTCTCTGTAAACCGCCCCTACAATCTTCCTTATCTCTGTGACCTCATTCGTCCCGTGCAACCCTCATTCTCTCTGTAGCCCTCTTCAGTCAGGACAATCTTCCCCATATCAGTTGTGTTTGCAAGTACATGTGTGCGTGTGTGTGTGTGAGAGAGAGATGGCTAGACACACAGGCAGTCAAACACAGCAAGATTAAAATAGCTACATTTAGCAATTACATAGGGGTAGCAATATTTGACATACACTTTTGTAATATGAGCACACAGCTAATTCTAATTTCTGATGTTAATTTGTTATTTTGTTTGGAAAGCAAGCATCACATTTTAATTTTTGCTTGTATGTTTGCATAAAATTATGCAAATCTTGACCTAATCATATCAGATAGATTTCAAGACCATGTATTAAACATCAGAGAAAGGAATATTCACAATTAAGGGGCCAACCCGCTTGAAAGAAGGTACTCTTTCAAGTCCTAACTTTGTTCGTGAAATGCACATAGGTTTTCACGTGATTTGTATATTGTATGTGTGTGTGTGTGTTTGTGTGTGTGTATGTATGTGGATGTGGATGCGTCTGACATTATGTGAGCGCATGAATCTGTGTGAGAGTTAGATTCTGTGTGAGTGCATTTTCCAGTCATTGTCAAATCATCGCAGCCAGCTTGGAGCTTGCAGTCTTGATTGTACTGTATGTTGATTATTCCCCTGCTCTCATACTCTACTGTGGCCCAATTGATGATGTTACCGCCTGTGCTGTGGCACCGTCGACTTAGAGCCTTGATGTCTCTCGGGGACAGGACGTGGTCCCACATGTTAACATCTGCCAGCTCTCCTACGAAACTCTGCTGACTGTCAAACCCACCCCCTTCCTGGTCCTGCTCCTGCCCCAGGATAATCGTTCCCCCACCATGCACCACCTCCCCCTTATGACCAACTTTGCGAAGGCTCCGGATGCCGTTGATCCAGAAGGTGGTGAGTCCGGTCAGGGAGTCCCACGTCACGCAAATGTGTTTCAATTGTGCGTCCATCTCTGGGAGGTCAAAATCGAACAGGTCAGTGTCAAGGCGGAGGGACAGCTTCGTATTCTCGTTGTGCCAGAGCAGCAACTCATTGTCCTTAGTTGCTGTGGCGTAGGAGAAGAAGCTGTAACCTCGCTTTGCCTCTGAGGCAGCCCTCAGGCAGAGAGTGAACGCAGAGAGCTGGGAGAATTCGGTCGGAAGCAGTTTAACGTAAGTACTGTCGGTTTGAGTCGAGAAAACCAGCGACTTGCCCGAAAAACCTGGAAATAAAAAAACACAATGAGTTCACACCGTTGACCATTCAGAATGGAGCAGCAGTGGCACAAATTCGTGTGTGGAAGTTTTCACAGTAGCCCAAATCATCCAGGATGCTCTCATAAAGGCCTAAGCTGACTCCACTAGAATTGCCTGAGACCTTCAACCCTCCAACAGGGAAATCTGTTCCCCAACACCCTCATACATACTTGCCAACTCGAAGCAGCAATCGGAGAATTTGGATAATTCGAATTTCTTTAACTGTGCCGTTACCTGCGGGGAACTGTTAGGCATATTATTATAATGTGATAAGATATAGGAGCAGAATCAAGCCATTCGGTCCGTCATGTCTGCTCCACCATGCGATCATGGCTGATATTTCTTAACTCCATTCTCCTGCTTCATCCCTGTAAACATTGATCCCCTTAGCAATCAAGAGCCAATCTCTCTCTCTTTCTCTCTCTCTCTTATATCTGCACTCAATGACTTGGCCTGCCGTTTCATGAGCTGCACAGATTCACCACTTTCTGGCTGAAGAAACTCTTCCTCATCTCAGATCTTTCTTGTCATGCTTTCACGCTGAGGCTGTGCCTTCTGGTCCTAATCTCTCCAACTAGTGGAAGCATATTTTCTACGTCCAGTCTACCCAGACTCCTCAGTGTTCCGTAAGTTTCTATCGGATCTGACCTCTAAACTCCATCGAGTAAAGACTTAAGAGTTATCAACTGCTCCTCATTTGACAAGCTCTTCACCTTGAGGACTATTTTTTGTAAACCTCCCCTGGACCCTGTCCAATGCCAACCCATCCTTCCTTAGATATGAGGCCCAAAACTGCTCACAGTATTCCAAATGCAGTCTGATGACAGCCTCGTACAGCCTGAGCAGTACACCTCTGCTCTTGCTCTAGCCCTCATGAAATGAATATAAATATTGTATTTGCCTTCCTAACTGCCAACTTACATGTTAACCTTAAGAGCATCCTGCACTATGACTCCAAAGTCCCTTTGTGCCTCAGATTTCTGAAACCTTTCACCGTGCAGAAAATAGTCTATGCCTCTATTCTTCCTACTAAAGTGCATAACATCACACTTTCCATCCATCACATCTTTGCCCTGATCCCTGGCCTGTCCAAATCGGACCACAGCCTCGCCACTTCCTCAACACTCCCAGGCCCTCCATCTATTTTTGTGTCACCAGTAAACGGAGCAACAATGCCCTCAGTTCCTTTGTCCAGATGGCTAATGTACAACGTGAATAGCTGTGGTTCCAACATAGACTCCTGTGGAACTCCACTTGTCCTCGGATGCCATCCTGAGAAGACCCTTTCTCCATACTGTCTATCTTCTGCCAGTCATTCACTACTGTATTTATGTCATTATCTTGCCCTTAACACCCTGGGCTCATCTTATTTAGCAACTTCTTGTGCGAGATCTTATCGAAAGCATTCTGGAAATCCAAAAAGCTCATATTCACTGAATGTTCTTTGCTTGTTACCTCCTTAAAGAATTCTAACAAATTTGTCAGGCATGATGTCCCCTTGACAAAGCCATGCTGACTGAGCCCTATTTTACCAAGTAATCTGCAATCTCACCCTCAATAATTGTCTTTCAAACCTTACCGATGACCAAAGTCAGGCTAACTGGCCTATATTTTCCTGGCTTCATCACTTCTAAAACAGGGGTGTTACATTAGTCATTTTCCAGTCCTCTGGGGCCATCCCTGTCACCAGCGATCCCTGAAAGATCACAACCATTGCCTCCATAATTTTCTCAGCTATCTCCTCTGAACTGTGAGCTGTAATCCAGTGGGTCTGGGTGATTTATCCACCTTCAGGCCTTTCAGCTTCCACCAGCATGTTCACTTTATTGAGGAGAATCCACTGTTATCCATTACTATCCACTGCACTCACCTCTGCCCCCTGCCTTCTAGTAGGTCTAGTATGCTGCGGGTGTCTTCCATTGTGTCTAACTCCTGAGTAACTCCACCTGGAAATTGGCATAGCCCAGGATCTTCTGGAATCCCTTTTATCAGTGTTCACACCCCTGCCCCCCATGATCTTTTGCGAATATCTCTACTGGGACATAGAGTAAGACACTTTGGAGGGTTCCGACTTAATTAAGTAAGCAGTTCAGAAAGAAATGCTGGTCCTAACCACTTGCTTCCCACAAATTCTCACTCACCCTGCCGCACCTGACTCCCACTTACCCTCCTCACCTATCTCCTTCTTTATCCCCATTTTTTTTATCTGCACTCACACTTAAATTGTCATTCACACATAAATAAACTTAACAGGCGTACAGTAAACTCATAAGATAACAACACAGAATGCAGAAGAAGGCTGGATAGGCTGCGACTTTTCACTGGAGTGTATGAGGTTGAGATGGACCTTATAGAAGTTTAAAAAATAATGAGAGGTATAGATACAGTTAATGGTGGTTGTCTTTTCCCTAGGATGGAGCATTTCTAGACTAGGGGGTCACATTTTTAAGGTGAGAATATAGGGATTTTAAGAAGAAATTAGGGGAAATTTTTTCACGTATGGTAGTCCATGTGTGGAATGAACTTTGTGAGGAAGTGGTAGATGTGGGTACAATTACATACTTTAAAAGACATTTGAATAAGTAAAGTTTGGAGGGATATGGGCCAGGAGCAAGCAAGTGGGACTAGTTTAGTTTGGGATTCTGTTTAGCATGGACTGGTTGGACCCAAGGGTCTGTTTCAGTACGTTAACCATTCGGCCCTTCAATATGATGATGGCTTTCATCCAGTTGAGCGCCTTATTTCTGTTCACTCCCTATATTAAATTTCACCATCTGCCACAGATGGGATTCGAGCCTGCATTGCCAGAGCATTGACTTTGGGTGTTTGATTACTAATCTAGTGATGATGCCATTATGCTACCCTCTGGCAAACTTGTTCCTTCATAATTGTAGCACATGTGGATACTCACTTAAATACACACAGACACATTATGTGCCACATACACATTTATACATACAGACACATAAACATACAGTTACAAACATGCACACACAGAAGCACGTGAACAGATAGGAACAATTGTGCACAGTTTCTTATTAGAACTTATAACCTTCCTGTTCTGCATAGCTGTTCACTCCAATTGCTCACTCCTATTGGGAAATATAGCTTGCTATGGGGAATGAAAACTGTCGCCTGTGATATATCAAAACTAACATACCTCCACTGACAGATCCTAGCACGAAAAGGCAGGAGGCAAGGAGAATGAAGGTCCTCATCATGTGTCGAGACTGCAAATGTAATGAACGGAGTCAATTTCCTTGGTCTGTAACTGCTATTGAAACTCAGAGTTGCAGGCAAAAAGCCACACGTAAAATTGAACACACAAAAGACACAATGTTACTCTGAGAACCCCACAATTATGGCAGAATGTCAGCTCCGTCCTAACTCGGAGCCCAAATATTATGGGTTCAAGCCTCACTCCAGAGTCTCGACAGAAAGCTTCAAAACAATCATTTCAACACCGTATGGAGGGATTTGCAATTTCCGAGAGTCAGTACTGAGGGAAAACTGAAATATCAGTGGGTCAGCACTGGAAGAATGCGGCGGTGTCAAATAGGCTGCAATGAAACAGCACTGCACTGTCACAAGTACAGTTCTGAGGAAGTGCTGCAATATCTGTACTCAACAGCTGTAGTGAGGGATTGTCGCCCTTTGGAAGGTCTGTACTGAGGAAGCACTGTATATTGTTGCGGAATCAGGAGTGAAGTAGCATTAAGCTATTGAATGGTCATTACTGATGGAACATTGAACAGTCCAAGGGTAAATAATGAGGGAGTATGACAGTGTCGGAGACAGTACTGAGTGAGGATCTTGTTGCCCAAGGGTTACTACTAGGGAGTGCCATACTGTCAGAGAAACATATCTGCCTTTTGGAAAATGGACATAGATCTAAATTTTGTGATCTATAGGTGTTAGGCTGGAAAAGCACAGCAGATCAGACAGCATCAGGAATCCTACCGAAGGGTATTAGCCTGTGACGTTGACTTTCCTGCTCCTCTGATGCTGTTTGACCTGCTGTGCTTTTCTAGCCTCACACCTATAGACCCTGGCTTCCAACATCTGCAGTCCTTATCATCTCCAAGTCACCTAAATATTGCAGTTTGCTTCCTAACTGCACCATATGTCGACTTTCCCCACATAGCCTTCAGTATTTCAGAACACTTTCTAAAGTGTAATAAGTGATGGAGAACATTTGATGATTTACGCCCAGCTCCCATTTTTTCATGAATAACTTTCTTTTAGGAAATAGAGGCTATTGTATTAAATGTAAACTGCAGCCATACACTGAAGCAGGGACTTACAATCTAAAGAGGATTGTATACTTCCTACTTTGGGCTAGTCTGACGAATGGATAAAAACCCTCACAGATTTTTGACTGTCAACTCGAACTTTGATCTCAGCTTGTCTTTCTCTCCGTTTTTTTCTCCATATATATTTTTGTTTCTCATTTTCTCTTTTTGTCACTGAATATTTTTCCCTGTCAATCAGTAGGTCTCAGTCAGTTCCTTGTACTATTCTCCATCTCCCTACATCTTTCTCTCTTCATGATTCCTCTTTTTCATGGCTATATACTACAGATCAAGACAGAAGCACAAGGGACAACAAATTCTTTGATTTTGAACTATAAACAGCAATGGAAATCTGGCCCTGCTACAGAGATAAAATGCCATGATTTTGAAATTAGGAAGTATCAGGTAGTGAATATTCTGTAGAGAACGTGTTGTTCTTGTCACTGTTAAATTATCGAGTTAGAGAGTCATCAGGAGTTTTTGGGGTAAGGACTAACTTTCCAGTATTAGTTGAGCTGCAATTTGTCACAGATGGATGGCAATGCAGCCAGAAGCATCGACAGATGATATATACAAAGCATCATTTACCTTGAATTTTTGTGAGCGAAAAGACAAATAAAACACCCAGAAACTTTAAAGAAAAAAATTCTATTGCAAGATTATGTACAACTGGTCAAGTATTATTGAAAATGGCCATCACTCTACAGACAATATCCTGTCATCACTTGTCGAAAACAACAGAACTGTGAAAGGCAATCAAACCCATCATGAAGGCCTGGACTATTGTGTTCCTCTCTGCCTCTCTCACGCTCTCTTTCTATCTTGTTTTCTCTCTGCCTCTCTCATTCTCTCTTTCTGTCTGTTTTTTCTCCCTGCCTCTCCCTCTCTCTCTTGCTGTCTGTGTTTCTCTCTGCCTCTCTCACTCTCTTTTCCTTTCTAAATTCCTCTCTCTTATTCTCTCACTTCCAGTCTGTGTTTCACCCTGCCTCTCTCACTCTCTATTCCTTTCTATGTTGCTCTCTCACATTCCCTCTTTCTGTTTGTGTTTCTCTCTGCCTCACTCGCTGTTCCTGTCTGTGTCTTTCTTTGTCTCTATCATTCTTCTTCTACCTGTGTTTCTCTTTGTCTCTCTCATCTCTGTCTCCCTGTCCATTTCTCTCTGCCGCTCTCACTCTCCCCTTTTTTTGGTGTTTCTTTGCCTCCCTCTCTATGTCTCTCTATATGTTTTTCTTTTCACTTCTCCATTCTTTGTTTCACTGTTTCTCAGTTTCTCTCTGATTCTGTCTCACGTGCTCTGTTGCTATCTCTCTTTCACTATCTGTACTGCTCTCTCTCTTTATTTCTCTCTTTGTCCTTGTCCCTCTCTTTATCTATCTGTCTCTCTTTTCCGGATTTCATTTCAATCTCAATAAACCTGTTCGTGATACTCACTGTTTCTGAATAGAGTGGGAAAGTTGAGTTTTCTCACTCAATGACCAAGATGCTCTACAGTTTGATCAGGTGATTTAGTGAACTTTAACAAGCAAGAACAAATATTCAGCAAATGAACTTTCCTCTAAGAGATTTTACTTGTTTAAACAATTCGTGATCTGGTTAAACATTACATGCTAAATCTTTGTCAGCTCCCAAACATCTGGGCTGAATGCCTTATCAGCAGTAATGTGCACTTTACAAGGTAAAATGTCAGGCATGCCACCTCTGCAGCTGTCAGGAATTACGCAGAAACAAGGGCAAAGACATCCTAGAGGGCTTTGTGGAGGACATCTTACCTACTGAAGGCATTGGTGAACCATACTGACTCCCATTTACACACATAAACCTGCTCCAAACACGAAAAAACGTATTCCATACCTTTGCACAGAGTTAGATGCACACAAGAACACAGGCTCATCTACAAAGACAGTCGCACACACAGAAGCTGACAAACATGCAGACTCACATTTTATACATATTCATCTCATGCGCACACTGACAATCACACACACACACACACACACACACACACACATATTAGTCACAAACACACACAAAGACACACACACAAATTCAAACACTCGCTAATACACACACACATACACACTCACATGCTCTACACTCATGCATTCTCATATTCTCGTATGCTTACATAAACACACACTTACTGGGACATAGACACACAGGCAAACACTGGCACACACTTCTTGCACAAATACACATATAATCTTCAGCCTCAACAATAAAGCCACCTCACACACACACACACACACACACACATGCACTCATTCATTCACTCACTTATGAGTTGATTAGCTCAGTTGACTGGACAGTTTGTTTGTGATGCAGAGGAATGCCAACAGTGCAAGTTTAATTCAGCTGAGGTTATCATGAAGAGCTTCTCAAATTCCCCTCATGCCTGAGGCATGGTGACTCTATGGTTAAGCTACCACTCATCTTCCCGATAACAAGAGAACAGCCATTGATCCAATAGGACTACAGCAACTTTACCATTTACATTTTATGCCTTACAAAATGAGGAAACACAAAGGCACAAATTAGCATAGCATAATCAGGGTTGGAGAGATAAATGAATGGCTGAGAGTATAATGTGGGAAATGTGGATTGCAATTCATGGGACATTAGGACCAATACTGGAGAATGTGCAATCTCTACCACTCTGGTAGATTACGTCTGAACCATACCAGGACTGGAGTTCTTTTGAAACCCATATCTAGTGAAGTAAAGCAGGTTTTTCAACTAAGTTGTGAAGATAAGAGCCCCAGGTTTTCAAAGCTGTGGTGAATCAAAGAGTCGGTAAAAGGCAACAAAGAAAGAAATTAACATGGGAAATTATAAGCAGACAACTACAGGACAGGACAGAGAATATAGATCAAAAAGCAAATCAGCAGATTAGGCTAGATGTTCCAAAAATAGCTTTAAAAAGATAAAGCTTGAGGCACTGTATTTGAATACATGTATCATGCAACACAAAGCAGATGAACCAGTAGTACAAATTGAGATAAAGAAGTCAGTCCTACGGGCAATTGCTGAGACATGTCTGCAAGGCGACCAAGATTGGATCTGTGACATTTCGGATCAGCAGGAAACAGGGAAACTGTGGAAGATTGGCTCTGTTATTTAAATATTATGTTAGGACAGCAGAGGGAGTACCAAAATTTAGGAAGCCAGGACAGAGAAGCAGTCTGAGTAGAGATGAGAAATGATGAAAGCAAGAAGTCACTTGTGGGGATTTTGTACAGGCTGCCTGTCAGTGACCTTACGCGCGACAGAATAATGAGGAAGAAATAATCTGAGCTTGTCAGAAGGGTACAGGGATTATCATGTGGGATTGTCACCCACATATAGACTGGAAAAATCAGACGGGAGAAAGTAGTCGAGAAGAAGAATTCATTGAATATTTTCAGGGCCATTTCTTCGACCAGCATGTTATTGACATTAACAATTAGCAAACTGATTTTGACCAACAAGATAAGATTAATTACTGACCTCATAGTGAAAGTGCCCCTTGCTAGCAGTGATCCGAATATGTTTACATTTACATACAGTTTAAGGGACTGCTAATTCAGGCAGCATGGTAGCTCAGCGGTTAGCACTGCTACCTCACAGAGCAAGGGACCTGGGTTCAATTCCAACCTTGGGTGATGGCCTGTGTAGTGTTTGTGCATTCTCCCCGCATCAATTTATGTTTCCTCTAGTTGCTCCAGGCTTCTCCCACTGTCCAAAGATGTGCAGGTTAGGTGGATTGGCCATGTAAAATTGCCTGTAGTGTCCAGGGATGTGTACGCTAGGTGGATTTGACATGAGAAATGTAATGTTACAGTAATAGGGGAGGGTCTGGGTGGGATGCCCTTCAGAAGGTTGGTGTGGACTCAGTAGTCTTCTTAGCCTACTTCCACACTGTAAGCATTTTATGATTCTAAGGCTATTTTGAACTTGAATAAGACAGTCATGAGGACATAAAAGTGAAGCTAGTGAAAGTAAAGAGTAAATTTAGGTTAAGGGGTAGGCAAATAGAGTTGGAATGGCAAACATTAAAGGGTAGACCAGAAGTGCATAGATTAATTCCAACAGATAACAAAAATTCAAAGGGACTGACCAACTGTCACTGAAAAATTCAAATGTACTCTCAAACACATAGAAACGACATTTAGTTGTGCAAATATAGGTGACAAGTTAGAAGATTGGGCAAAATTTACAAAATAAAACAATGAGGATTAATAAGGGGAGAAAAATTAGAGTGCAAGAGAAAGTTAGCGAAAAATACAAAAGCAGAAAGGAAAAAATATTCTTCGGATGTTAAAAAAAGGAAATTAAAGTCACTGAAGTAAATGTTGGTCCTGTAGAAAATGAGTCTGAGGAATTAGTAATGGAGGATAAAGTAATGGCAGATCCATGCCAAATGGATATTTTGCATTTTTCTTCACTAGAGAAGATACAAGTAGCATCCCAGAAATGACTGTAAATAAGGAAGTAAAAGGGAGGGAGGAACTTAATAAAGTTGCAAATACCAGTGAAGTAACATTGAGTACATTGTGGGAGTGCAAGTTGACATATCTGCAGGTCCTGATGGATTTCAATCAAGGGTCTTAAAAGAAGTAGCCAGTGAGATAGTTGGTGAGTTTGTGCAAATTTATCAAAATGTATAAGTTTCAGGGAATGTTCCTTCGGATTGTGGGTCTTGAATCTACAACTAAAATGAAGATCCAAAATTTCACTCCAAAATCTTTGAAAACGTTACAACAGTAACACTTCATGAGTACAAGCTGCCCCAAGCACAACTGGGGATGTCCTGTGATTAATAATGAAGCTATTAAAATGCAATCAATTTTTTTTTCATCTATTTAAATTGTAAACTTGAGGTAATTTGCTGAAGTAATGTCGCTAATGCTTTGACAGTCTCCACATATCTTTCTAAGAAGTATGTTGTTTTTCTCTAAAAATTCCACTGCTATAAAGGAATATTTTCGCTTTACTTTGTGTGCCAAAGGACCATAATTAAAGTTGCACCAATCAACTGAATAACTCAGGGAGTTAAGAATTCCAACAATCTACTCATGTACTTATTAAAATACAATAAATGTCTATAGTGTCAAATGAGTCACTGAATTTTTTGACATGTGCCATTACAGCAAGAAACATTTCAACAATGAGAATGTGAAATATAAAATATCAAAGACCAATATAACACCTACCCATAAGCCAGTGTTATGGATCAAACCCAACACCCTCAAAATATATCAAGGAAATAGCCGAGGCCATAACTTTATATTTTAGTTCAAGGCAAGCAAAAGGTGCTGTGTTTGAAATGTGATTCAGTAGAGCCACTACTCAGCTTTTAAGTAAAATGAATTTTATTCTTACAATATAGTTAAAACACAAACAACAAAAAAAGATGAATTGGCATAATTTTAACTCTACTGAAAAACTTAATAAAATAGTATGCTATTTAACTGCTAATCATCAACTGTTCCAATGTAGCAGCACCCAATAAACACAACCTTGGAAAAGCCAAACTGAGCAAAACAAATTTTCCTCATGCGCTATCTCCTCTATTCCAGGGAAATGAACGCCAAAAAAAAAAAATCTAGAAGCAGAGAGAGAATTCAAACATTTTTTGCAGCAGCAGCAGCAGAGAGAAAGAGCTGTCTGCATTAACTTCCTAAACCCAGTTCCTACATGTCTCAAGGCCGGGACATCAACCTGGATATTAACCATGTCGTCAGTTGCCACCACTTCTGTGACAAGCTGTGGAACACCACAAACCTTACTCTTTGTGACCTGGGGGAAAGCTTCAAGCCAGAGGGCCCTGCTCAGGTAAGCTGACTGGCAGACTGTCATGTGGGTGGAGGAGGAGGAGCAGCCTCTGCCCCTACCAGTGGGCATTCAATTCTGGTCTCCCTGATATAGGAAAAGTGTAGTGAAACTTCAAAAGGTGTGGAAACGATTTACAAAGATGTTTCTATAGGGAGGAGACAAATAGGCTGGGGTTACTTTCCCTAGAGCATTGGATGCTGAGAGGTGACCTTATAGAGGTTTATAAAATCATGAGGGTCCTTGATATGGTGAATAGTCAAGGTCTTTTTCCAGGGTAGGGGCACCCAAAACTAGATGGCATAGGTTTAAAGTGATAGGGGAAAGATTTAAAAGGGACCTAAGGGGCAACTTTTTCACACAAGGTGGTGCGTGCATGCAATGAACTTCCAGAGGAGGTGCTGGAGGCTGGTCCAATTACAACAGTTAAAAGGCATCTGGATGGATACGTGAATAGGAAGGGTTTAGAGGGATTTGGGCTAAATGCTGGCAAAAGGGAGTTTAGGATATCTGGTTGGTACGGACAAGTTTGACTGAAGGGTCTGGTTCCATGGTGTGCATCTGTATGACTCTATAACTGAAAGCAACTCCACCTGCTCATGCTTATTTTGTCTAATTAAAAAAGACACACACTCAGGGAGCTTAAAGCTGTTTACCCACTACTTCTAAAGTGGACATTCTAACACC